CAATGTCTACATGAAAGATAATCATGACGTAAATCGAACTGTCTCGTCTTACTTGGTTGTCTTGCAATGCATCGGCAAGGTACTTAGAGTTAAGTTCATCGAGCGTATTCTCTGATAAATTCAGTTTACGTAGCCTCTGATTTTCACATAATGAAATGAGCAACAGTAGTAATCGATGGAAGTTCTCTTACATTGTTGTTATGTATTGCCTCTGCAAAATGTTTCATGCCATCGGGTCCTATGCTATTATAGCATACGTTTAGCTCTTCCAATCTCTATTATGGTTACGAGGATGAGAAAGAAGCTTTCGAGATTTCTTTTACCGGATTCATTCGCAGTGCACGAGCTAAGTGTTGCATTCCTTCAGTGCCGATTCTATTTTGCTCAAGATTAAGACTTCGAAGGGCCTAAACGAAACAATCAGACTGAAAGACATAAGATAGCACAATAACTTCGACCTAACTTGATTATGACATAATCCATCGGCTAAATACTGCATACCTTGTGAGTCAATTTCGTTAATTAGAAGATTTAAAGTAGTGATCGACTATACGCACATTTAACGCAATTTGTTGGCTGTTCAAAAGACGAAACTTACATGATTTTCCTTTAGGATCATCGACAAATATTTTGCATCATCAGCGACGAGCTCATTTTGTTGCAGATCCAAGCATGTAATTGTCTATACATCCAAACGAGAAATAGAAGGTAATCCAAATGGATCGAACTGCAGAGCTCTCACTGTGTTGTTCTTCAGTACATATGATAATTGTTGTAGTTTTGAACCATTGATATTCCTTTCACATAGATTCAAATCGGTAAGTGTCTATATCACATGTTTGGCGATTTGCAACAAATAACAATCAATTCCACACTTACGACATACGGACGATAGTTATCGATGACTATATTGAATCGAGTGCACACATTTCGCAATGAAAGAAGAATGGTCAATATGTCAAGATGATCGAGGATACGGTAGATAATATCAACTGGTAACGTCAGAAACGAATACATGGTTGAAGAAATACTTTGGTGTGCGAAACAATTGATAGATGGAGTAATATATAGAACGTGTTCGTTGCAAGATAAACATTAGTTGGTTTTTTCCCCGTTCTTTCTGCTGACACATACGGACTGCAGGAAGAGAAAAAGAAATTATTTTTCTCTTTCACTTGGTAATTCATCCAAAGTCATGTTAGTACTTTTAAATGACCAATTGAATATCCGTGCTCTTTTCTTTATTGATAAAACTGTAGTAGGAAGCCGAAATGAAATATTTGAGACAAAGGAACACGCACATACAGACGATGGGTCTCGATCTTATGGTATTCCTACTGCGGATAAGAATAGTGGTACTTTATTAGATTTGAATAAATGTGTATTTGTATAAATCCGTATAACTGTCTATTAGTGCCTTTCGTTTGAGTTGTAGTTTTATCAGTTACATCACCGAATATTCTTCGTGAATTACTATATAATGCCTCGGCAACAACAGTCAGTCTCGGTGGTGTTGTTAAACTGGATGTCTGTCAACAAGAGAATCTCATGACAAAAAAATATTATTCAGGACACGTACACATATCCAACTGATAATGATCAATTGGAATACAGTCTAGAAGTCACAGTGAGCGATTTCAATATTTATTATGTCTTTCTGTGTGCTCGAATAACATGTATGTCCTTTTTTTCTTATAGCCAAGGAGAAAACTCGACACCACTTGCTATTTTCAATTTTAATCATGGTGAAGGCATATCTGTTTGAACTATAGACCCACGCTCTCATCGTCAAATACTCATCACATTACAAAACTACTCTTGTTTAATTCTCTCTATTAATTTTCATCAATTCTGCTTCAAAACTACAGCGTTCAACAAAATTCAGTAAGCAAAGCCGCACACACACACACACATCGATGAGCACTTTGAATATACTATCCCATTGAAATTGGATCATTTCAGACGGTGTCAGCAGAGCATTGCTATTTCTAATTCTCCACCACGATCCACATCCTTGTTCATTTTATAATATCTTCTTCTCATTTCCCAATATAGTTGCCAATAATCACGATAATATGTGGTGCAGCCAAAACCATCTCTAGCTTTCTCACGTCGTGAATTTATATTACCAAAATCTCTGCGAATTCTCAGTGAAACATTCTGTTGAGTTGTCACATTGACAGTTCTCCAATCCAACCAGTATTCTGTTCCTAAAAATGAGCGCAATTATCTCACTTAGATTTACTACTTCTATTTCAAATTTCTCAAAATAATACGTCGAAACTGCGAAGAATTTGAATAGACTTTGATGAAATGTTCTGAATAACAACTTGAGCAGTTCATGCTTTAAATATCTGATGACAAAACGGAAGAAAGGGAGTTTCCCCTTGTCGAGATTTTTCCAAGTTGGAAGAAAAGGGAAAAGAAAAAAATATATATATAATCGAAACTTTCAGTGCTTCATGAACATGCCGCAACTAAAAAGAAGTTTCTTTTTCAACTGGATACACCCATTCTCTCGAGAATGCCGAGATAGGTATATTTCTCACAATGAATTTCTTTCTTTTGAACATGGTTACAAAATCAAGCGAGTCCCAAGCAGACAAGGTTTGTCCGAAACGCGTTTTCACATTGGAAAAAGACCATTTTTGAATGTAGGCACGTGTGAGAATAGGAATGCTCGTTTAAACGCAAAAGAATGAACTTTTGTCAGCATTAAAACGAACAAACCTTCCCTAATAACTATTTCTAAGTATGTGAACGCTTCGAATACTTCTTTTCATACTGTTTCAACACTCATATGAGTAGACTCGCGTGTTTTTTGTTAGAAATCGCATATGCAGCATGTTTTGGTACCGTATTTTAATCAATGTCTTCAGTGTGCGAAGTACATGTCGTGTAAACACGGGTAATTCGGATTTTTCTATCGTTTTTTCGTAAATTTTTCTTTTATGAGTAAATTCAGCAAAACTCAAACTGAAAACACCATATAGACCGAGATAAAGTATATGTATGTATACCACTAAACCGCTTATTCGCCTAAAAGTATAAAGTTTCAAAACGTATGCACCGTTTGAACACCACTTCAACTATTATTTCGTACAGAAATATGTAATATTCTTCTATTATAGCAGTATTCAAACGCGTCGCAAAAACTGATGGTGTGAACATGTGGAGAAACCAGTTTCAACCTCGAACTCACACAGAGTTTTTCCTTGAGGGTGCATTCCGACTCGGAATGCACCAATCCCGATTCCGATTCTAGAATCCGAATCGAATGGGATTGTTTGGAATTGGAATTGGTTGGAACCGGCTGGGATTGATTGGATGTGGTTTGAAACTAACGTGACATAGTTAAGAACTATGTGAGATCTAACAGGAAAATAATTCTAAATGCTTCTTGTTGCTGAAAATTTGTCTGCCATTAACGAAGACTCTCTGAAACTAGTATTAGTCTGAGTTAAAATTAGTAATCTATTTCAGTCTATCTCGGATCAATTCCAACCAATTCTGGACCAATTCCATTCGATTCCAATCCCAATTCCGACCGATTCCATTCGATTCTAGAATCGGACTCGAATCGAATCGGGATTGTTGCATGCCTAGTTTGAATATGTTCAACTCTATAGTACGAAGAAGAGAAAAACGTAATGATAGATAATATAATATATGGTCAGGTAAATTTGGTATTAAACTTGGATTCAGCTTCTACATTGACTGAGTATTGTTACAAGCTTGAACGTAAATATTTGTTTCTTACTGGAAGCAATCAAGTGGATTACGAGTGCAGAAGCCTTGATTGAGAGGCGACGCCATCGTGCCTCGAAGAACCATAAGTTCGCGCCATGGCAATAACCGAAGAATAGCATCATCGCTCGCAATGGTTTCACCAGTGGGTGTCTCATAGCNAAGCAGGGAACTAGCAACGACGACCATGGCAATTAACACTTTCGTTGTGCACTTCTTGTCTTCTATTAATTTGCACATCAAACAGATTTATTCGCAACCTTACGGATTAACATGGCGAATAATAATATTCATAGACAAAGTAAGCCTTTACAATACACTCTCTTATCTACTAATAAGTGTATAAAACAAACGCAATATACATTTGGGTGTATTTCTTTTGTCAATTCATACGTATGAGAGCAATGTTTGTTCGCGATGAAGGTATAGACGTTTTGACCTAATGACCGATAGAACAAAAGTGTCTGCACTTTGTGAAATTTATTGACTAGACAACAAGCAAAAAGGAACACACATCTAAGTTTCAGCAGCGTACTAAAAATCGATACCATTTAATAAATAGAGTTTTCAATTCTTGACGATATGTTTGTGATGTTGAAATGTAAACCCAAAATGAGAATGTATTTGCCATGTAGAGTAAGAATATCCGAGTAAGATAAAAAATAAAAGATTCAATTTGTTGACGTTCTTTTGACACGACTTCTTCGGCAATAACTGATTTATAAATACGTGTTATTGTATTTGGTGTAAGAGTAATCGTACAAATAACAAGCTCGATGAATAACATTTTCATCATGTCCCGATCACGTTTGCGAAGAACAACTGCACCTGTATCTACAGTGTTAGTTACGGCAGTTGGTAGAATTCGACGACGTGTTTTTCTTAAACTTTGTAGCATTAGTATTCCAAAAACAGTCATAGCTAATAATGGAATAATCCCAGCTACGGATATAAGATAAGTCGTATACATAATATCGTATATCCCGGGAAGTGCATCACAAACACCGTCGTACAATTGTCGTGTTAATGTTGGTAAAATAGATACCAGAAGCCAAAAGATCCACACAGCTGGAATAAGGCGAATCGCTACCCTATATTGACTAAATGCACGAACTCTTGGCCGATCACTGCAACAGGCATATCGATCAGCACAAACCAGGACAAAAAATGTTCGAAAGATTTGATTTAGTGTATGTCGAAAATAGAAAAACATAGCACATGCGACCTGATTGTAAAGAACTGGATTCGGATGATCTAGCGCCCATATAGATGGTACAGCTGACATATTCAAACCCCAAATACCACTGATTGACATTGCCAAGATATACAGTGCGCACGGTGTTCGACGATATTGTGTTTGACTGAACATAACAACATTGAACAATGATCCCACACTTCCGAGAATGACGTAAGCTGTCATACCATATCGTGTAAAGTATTGTTGTACAAGAGATAGTGATGCTGCAATCGACATATTTGCGTATTTATTTTGATGGCAGACTACAACACGGTTGTTTTGAGTTTGAATGCAAAATGAATTGCGGAAATAATCTTTATTTCATTTTATCTCTCTCTATAAGGTTTTTATGGCAAGTCAGAAAAGAATAATGTATTTTATCATGCTTGACAAGCGGATTTATTTATATATTCTGATTTTCTCTTTTTCATTCGGGTTGTATGAGTTGGTGTGATGTTTACCCTTTAAAAAAAGTACTCATCGGTCGAAACCTTTCCTCTCTTTACTGCAGACATCGGATTTTCCTAGTTACTGTCGCATTGAGCTGACAGAATTCATTCATAACACATTATGATTGTTCAGTGAGCATAATGTTCACACCGTAATTGTGTGACAAGAGAAAATACCATAGTTAAAAATGAAATTATCTTCCACTTCATTATTTAAAGTTTATCACACGACAGAGAACATTCTTGTTTAATTAGTTTTATTGTATATTATCACTTCCATTCTAAAGTTACCAGATTTAACAAAATCCGTAAGCGGAACAGTACGCACATACATTGATGGATATTATTCTATCAAACTGGACCATTTCAGACGTTTTCAGCGTAAAAATAAGCATTTCCCGACGGTAATTTAAAATCTACACGAATATGAATACCTTCATTGAGTAATGTTATTTCTAAGTCTCCACCACGGTCTATATCCCACACATTAACTTGTGCGTTGTCTTTATTTATCTTATATCGTCTTCCATTCATTTCCCAATATAATTGCCAATAATGACGATAGCACGTATTGCAGCCAAAACCATCTATAGCTCTTTCACGCCGTGACAATATTTCCCCAACATCTTTGCGAATTATATTTCTAATATTTTGTTCAGTTACCACATTAACAGTTCTCCAATCAAGCCAATATTCCGTTGCTAAAAATGAGCGTGCTTGCAATTTGTTACTAACAGCATACACCAATGTGACATTTCTCAAATCATGTCGAAGTTTATTTCGTACAATTATCTCACTTAGATTCGCTACTTCCATTTCTAGCGTGTCCGAAGAATTCCAGTCGATTTTCACAGCTCTTTCTTTAAATATGTGGTTACAAAATGCAAGGAAGGAAGTTTTCCCTCTATTTATATTGAAATCCGCATTTTTTCAAATTGTATACGGAATTTTTCCAACTTGGAAAGGAAAATGAAAGAATCGCAATCGTTCTTTTTCTTCCTTCCATCTTTTCCAAGTTAAATATATTCTCTCTAAAATGATGAAAATGTGTATATTTCTCAAAGTGAATTTCTTGCTTTAGAATATGATTACAAAATTAAACGAACGAGAAGGTAAGGACGAAACAAACTAAAACACTCTGTTGTGCTCGTTTACCCAAGCAGACAAGAATTATCAAACACGCGTGTGATCGCCTAAAAAAGTCGGTGAAAAATGAAAAAAAGTGAGCGTGTTTTGTCTACAATTGCGGTCCCCGATTGCGAGTGAACATCCGAGGCTCTAAAGCAAAGTAGTCAATTTCATTGCATGCTTACTTTCATCATTTATTTCAAAAGCTTTGCTCTTTTCTCTTACTTTTTAAAATACTGATGTAAATAGAAATTGAATATAAATACAATACCATCACCCTGGTTTACGACTTCAGTAATGTCAGTTATTAAGATGTAGTTGTTGCAGATTCACAATATGGCGCTGTTGTTTCAGTTGACGTTTATTTTGATTCAAACTCACCTTTATTTACAAATCGTCTTCAGTTGAAAACGATAAAATTTTCTCTCCTTCTACACTTATTTACCCCTTACATTGATTATATAACTGTGTGAGAGGAGAACGCAAAAGAACGATGACAAGGCACTTTTATGTTCGGTTAAATAGCGACGACAACCACAACATTACATATAAAAACAGCGTGCAAGCAATATTATATTTATAACTCGTTGATCGTTTTTTCTTCTGATTTCTTATGGCATCAACACAACAACAACGCATTATTCTTGTTACGGGTGCTAATCGAGGTCTCGGTTTCGAAGTTGTAAAGAAACTTGTCAACCAATCGAATTCAAACAAGGATTTAATCTTACTTGGCACTCGTGATCTGAAACGTGGCCAAGATGCGATCAATCAATTGGGTTCACCGTCCAATGTGCACGCATTTCAATTGGACACATCATCATCCGATAGTATTGCACAGGCAGCAAATGTTATCAAGCAGAAATATGGAGGAAAACTAGATATTCTCATTAACAATGCTGGTATCGTATCGATGGAACAGACACTTGATGCTGCTCGTGAGGTGTTTGCTACTAATTATTATGGAGTAAAATTAATTAATCAACAGTTATCTCCATTCATTAGAGAAAATGGTCGTATAGTTAATGTAGCAAGTGAAGTAGGTGCTTGGACATTGTATGATGCATCAGTCGATCTTCAAAATAGATATACGTCGTCATCGCTGACCGAAGAGCAACTTGATGCACTTGTCAAAGATTTCTTTTCTGCTATTGAAACGAACCGTTTGGAAGAGATCGGTTATCGTAGTAAATTACCTTTTCAGACATATGGCGTGTCAAAAGCAGCACTCATCGCTCTAACAAGAATAGAAGCTCGTTCATGGTCAGGTGCAAAAGGTGTCTTAGTGGTTGCAGTATGTCCAGGTTATTGTGATACTGATATGAATAAAGGTAGACCAGGAACACGTCCAGCTGCTGTCGGTGCCGATTCTATTCTCCATGCAGCTTTGAGTCCTGCAAACGAATTAGAGAATGGGGCATTCTATCAAGATGGAAAGAAGCAAGCACAAGCTCTTCCATGTCCGATGGATCTCAGCAAAATGTCTCAACACTAGGACAAATCGTGGACAAACCATTAATACTGTAGTGTGTATATTTTCTTCATTAATAAAGTATTTAGTTCGAAGTCGACTCCCTCAAGTTCTTTTTTTCTATCTAAATTTATGCCTACGCACATTCAGCATATTGTACCGCTAATGTTTTATTCAAAGATGTTCAAACGATTTTTCTTCGTTGAAGACAGAATATGATATTTTATTTATCTCAATTATCAACACATTTACTTTATATTTATTTATTCGATAATTACATCAACTAATTCAGTTTTTATCCAAATACCTAACAGAGTAGTTTTTATTTTGATAACTTGATATTTTATTATTATTGATCAGAACTGCAATTACATGGAACATGCTAATAGTAAGAACTGACACCACTGAAACTTCTTTTACTGTCTTCAAAAACATTTTCTATGTATACACTCTTGAGTAGTCCTATTTCGGAAGAAATGAAAAAAAGAATACGATTCTCCTTAGACTGAATTCTTATCGATAACTCATGTATCTCTTAAATGTATAATAAAAGCAATTTCTGTCGCGTGCATTGTGTTTAAATGCGTTTACAGAAGACAAATTTTTTAAACGGGTATAACATTCTTGCCAGCTGTTGCCATTCTGAAAGAGTGCGCCTATTTCAAGGAAACAAACACTAAGCATTGATTTTCACTTTCTTTTGTATCGAATGGCTGGTTCGACGTTTCTTAACCCTCAAATCAATTCTCAAGGTCAATCATCAGTTCAAAAGGATCCACCATGTCGATTTTCTGAAGAAAACAAACGGAAAAGTATTCTTATTTGGCTAGATGCATATTTTGATAAAAAAGAACCTGACTATCAAATCTCTCTCGAACAACTGCAGTATTTATCTAATGAAGTTTCTACGTTTAATA